GTACCCCTTTTAATCGAAAAAATGATCATTTAATCTATGAAGTGAGTTAGCACAGAACATAATAAAAATGAAATATTTATTAAAAAATATACTCTCTGTACGCTTTCCAAGGGATGACCTCCTGTAGATAAAGCAAAGCAAACTATGCAATAAACTTCAACTGCAAACCAGTCCTCAATCTAAGAAAACTACATGCGAATAGCCTTAACATGCGTTGTTTGTATGGTGTATATTAACGGAGAAAATTGGGCAGAGAAATGTATTCATAAATATGGAAAGGAAAAAAAAAAGTATTGGAAGTAATGATAGACTTTGACCACATCAGTTTGATTTAGATGTGATTGCTATTCCAAATTAAATTGTTAAGTGCCCATTTTTTTCTAAATTGATAAAAAAAAAAGTTTTTTTCTTTCAGCAAAAAAGAAAAAAAAAGTAAAAATACCGTGTGATAATATTTTTTTATAAAGTGGTAAAGGCACTCTTGTAACAAAAACGGAAATATGATATCAGAATGTAGTTGTTATATAATAGAAGGTAGGTATTCATGTATTTTTTGTTGTTGTTGTTGTTTTAGTTTAGTTTCAGGGGGGAAGAGTAATCACGAGGAAATACAAATATTTTTTGTCAACTATTCGCGATAAATACATGTAATCGGATATTTTTATTCTCTGTGAATTTTGAAAGAAAAGAGGTATGGGAAAAGGCATCGAAAATATAAAAAGCTGACAAGATTTTTTTTTTAAAGCAAAAATATTCGGAATGACTAACTCTTATAGTTTTCAATTACATTTATACATATGCCTACCCATTAGGAGAGGTAAAATTTGACATAAATTTAGTTTGGCGTATAGACGCGTTCTTTAATGAAACGCACATCTTTCCGCTTTTCTCAATTTTACACAGTAGCCCGCGTGGGGTAGTGGTTAGAGCGTTTGCTCTAAAGTCGCGGTGTAAGGCGTTGATTCTTACATCGCAGGTTCGAATTCCACTGCGGGAGGTGAAGGCCGGTCATTGGGAAGAGACTGTATAAACCGAGGTCTCGTGTTGCAGTAGGTGCTGGCACGAAAAAGATCCCTCACTGCTAAATAGCCCTAAGTTATTTGTATAATATTGTATAATATTCCGAGTATAGGTAAAAAGTTGTAGTCCTTCACCTGGCAAGTGGTTGCGTCTCCATATAAGTAAAAAATTCTCGAGAGGAACGTTAAACAACAAACAAACAAACAAAAACAATTTTACGCAGGGGTAGAGGTACATTATGGCGTAGAGCATTTAATTGAACGGGCCAATGGTTGAAAAACCTAACAAAGGTAAACTTTCCTTGCTGATTTTAAGAAAGATAATATATATTCAGTTTTTGTTGATATGAAAGAAGATAGATAACAACCAATGTAATTTATTTCCTGATATATGTTATTTTTTTTCTGGATATGGCGACGATAAATATTGCAATATATTTTTTACCCTATATTATAGGATGTACACTTGGGTATGGTAAGCACTCGTGATTTTAATTTTAACAATTATTTATACTGACTGATATCAAACAATGATAAAACATTTTGGCTTCACAAAGTTTTCAATAGAATATTTGGATGACTATGGATACACACTTTGTGATTCAAACTTAGCGTGAAGGTGTGCCATAAAGTTTTATCTGGGATGATCCTGCAAGTATATGTATATTTGATCTCATGGCAGTTCAGGCATCAGTGGATTTTTATTACCAATAAAATTGTCCATATGTATATATCATCAAACAAATCAAAAACTAAACAATTATGTCTGAAATAAGTAACTTTTCTTCAATGGAACAAGAACATTTGTTTCAAATTGCAGTTATATAATTCAAATCTCTTGTAAGTAAAAATTAACATAACGTACAGAAACAACATTACTCTATGAAGATTGATTTCCCCAGTTGAAAGAAAGCATTGAAGTCTGATGAATGTATATTGTAAAAGGTAGAGATAAGGAGCAGTGATCGATCTAAAGAAAAAAACCCATAAACAATACAAATATGTAAAGAGGGCGTAAAACATGGACCCGTGGAAATTCCAGAGATGGGATCAGATGCTTAGGAGGAATAAGCATCCCCTGTTGACATGTCACACCTGCCGTGAGCCCTATGTGTTGAAAAGGTATATGGAACTATCTGTAGTCAATTCAGTACAAAAACAAAGACCTAACAAATGGTATGAAATAAATCAGCCAAAATACGACCAAATGACAGGTTATATTTGCTAATAAAGTCAAGTGTAAGTAAACAACACCATAATAGTGAGCACGTGGAACATTAAAACATTGACAAACATTTACATAATTGGATTTTAACTCTATTTTTTCCCTTAAAACCATGAAATAATTAAATTTTCTTTTCGGACTCCTTGACTATTGTTTCTTCTAGTAGCGAAACCATCGCATTGAACTTATAAACAGAAATAATATAAAAAAAAAATATTGCCATAAATTAGGAGATATAGCATTGATATACACCCTTGCACTTCATGAAGAAAGAATCTTGAAAATCGGCGTTCATGGAACAATGAAGACAGGGAGCTATTATAATCATTAACACGCAAGGATCCTTATGATTAGCAGTTACAAATAACCATGCCACTGATTCCTTCGTTCACTTCAGATTCATAAAGTAAATCTTATTTTGCTTTTATTCCCTAAAAAAAGCTAATTATGTACAAATATGCTAATACTGAAAAATATATCGCTGGTCTCCGATGTTGAAATCCTAACTTGGACTCGGAACTTGTATGGATCATGGCAAGTGGCTATAGAATGTTCAATATGAAAGACGCATTTTATTTATAAATTACAATACAAATATCTGGGTTTTTTGGTCATAGAATTAAGCTAAGAAAATATATGTAGCCTTATAACTATTTTAATCATCAAGTTTAGCTTAATTTTGATGCACCGGTAACGGTATTCTGATATGCATATTGTAGCATATACTTTACATACAATCATGTATATTACAGAATAAAGAATTGATTCTCATGTCATATTTTATGTTACCTTGTTGTACGATTTAATAATTACCAATACTAAATGGGGATTTTTTTTTTATTTCAGCAAATATAGCTTTGAGTAAACTAACGCATCAATCATTTCAGTATAATCCAGGAGATAGTAGATTCCAATCCAGTTAGGCTGTGGATGGACTGAGGACTGACCTCAGTGCATGGGGAGGACAGTGTGCAATATCAGCTGGGGGCCAGAGAACTGCAATCTGGTGGGTAAATCTTCAATCAATCTACACCATTCATGATATAAGGATCTATTACAGGACAGATAATGTTGTATGGGGTAAGTGCATTTTCTACTGGAAATTAAATTTGGATCATCGTTTTAAATAGGCAATCAGAAGTTAGAAGGTTACTCCCTATTCCCTATCGACTATTCGAATGGCAAACCGGATGCTGCTACCGGTTCCCTATTCAAATTACCGTAAGTGTCCTAATATTTTTTTTTTAAACTTGAATAACTCATTATAATACGTTTTAAAGTAGCACATCAAAGAGATCACTTAAAAAGGAAGAGTGAGGACCCCAAACCAATGTGGCTAGCCTGAACAAAATGATGGCAATGGATAGAAAAGGTAAACCTTGATCCAGGAGCTGGTTAACACCCTGGACCCCATATTTAGACCTTCATATTTTTACAGAGGAGGGGTCTGGGAGGGACCCCTTGACTGTCAAAAGGAATTGAGTTTACAAGAGCGGTAACCCATTTAGCTAGCCCGGCCAACAATTTAAAAATCCGATATAATACAGTTAAAGGGTACATAGTTCTAGGGGCTGGCTTACACCCTGGATCACATAATTTGACCATCGTCTTTTTACAGGAGAAGGGCCTGGGAGAGATCCCTTGACTATCAAAAGGAATAGAGTTTACATGAGTGGTAACCCATTTAGCTAGCCCGGTCGAAATTGGAAAAATCCCGTATAATACAATTATAAGAGTACATAGTTCTAGGGGCTAGATAACACCCTAGATCCCATATTTTGACCTTCATTTTTTTTTACAGGAGAAGGGTCTGCGTAGGATCCCTTTATTGTCTAAAGAAATTGAATTTACAAGAGCGGGAACCCATTTAGGAAGCCCGGTCAAAATTGGAAAAAATTCCGTAAAATACATTATTAAGAGTACATAGTTCTAGGCGCTGGCTTACACCCTGGATCCCATATTTTGACCTTCATCTTTTTACAGGAGAAGGGTCTGGGAAGGACCCTTTAACGTTCAAAAGGAATTGAGTTTACGAGAGCGGTAACCTAATTAGCTAGCCCGGTCAAAATTGGAAAAATCCCGTATAATACATTTATAAGAGTTCATAGTTCTAGTGGCTGTCTAACACCGTAAATCCCATATTTTGATCTTCATCTTTTTGCAGGAGAAGCACCTGGGAAGGACCCTTTGACTGTCAAAAGGAATTGAGTTTACATGAGTGGTAACCCATTTAGCTAGCCCGGTCAAAATTGGAAAAATCTCGTATAATACAATTATAAGAGTACATAGTTCTAGGGTTGGATAACACCGTAGATCCCATATTTTGACCTTCATTTTTTTTTACAGCAGAAGGGTCTGCGAAGGACCCCTTTATTGTTTTAAGAAATTGAATTACAAGAGCGGTAACCCATTTAGCTAGCCCGGTCAAAATTGGAAAAAATTCCGTAAAATACATTTATAAGAGTACATAGTTCTAGGGGCTTGCTAACACCCTGGACTGGGTTGCTCAAAACCTTGGTTAGCGCTAACCGCTGGTTAAATCTCTTATCCAGCGGTTAACTTTTAACCTTTGGTTAAATTCTGTTGCTCAGAATTTATCCGCTGGTTAACTATGCTATCCAGTGGTTAAATATTGGCCAATGTTAGCCATTCCACAGAGGTGGGTTAAGTCTCTTATCCAATGGATAAGCATGGCTACCTTGTTATTGTTTTTTTTGTAGATTTTGGAGGATAACAAAAGAAACAAAGTCTTGTACACATTGTAATCACGAATTTAATGTTGATTAGTACTAATAAAGACACAGTCATTTATAAGTCAAGTAGAAAAGGCTTTGCAGCAATATGGAAGAGGGGATAACAACACTTTCAGAGATATAATAGGATTTCATGTCTTCAGCATCTGCAAGAATGTTTCGAATGGGTTCTTTCAAGGCTAAATTTTTGGTGTTGCAAAGGCTTTCATCAAGTGGCAATCCCCTGCCGAAAAAAAAAAAGATGATAAATATATGTATGTATAAATGAATAATTTAAAAATTGTCATTTGTGTATGAGCTTAATAACGGATACAAATAAATTGATATATTAGTTTGGTAAGCAAACATAAATTATTAAAATACATTTAAAAAATAAATTGGGAATCGACACCCCCCCCCTTCTCTTCAAATGCTTTGTTTTTTATTTAATCATTTTTTACTATACATGTATTAATTATCATTCGCTTGACAATGATTTTTTATTGGCCCCATTTTGTTAAGCGATGCCTCTTGCAATTGCCTGCTGCATTAAATAAAGAGTGTATCCCCTATTTCCTATGATTTTACATTCATGTTGACTAGGTCCCTCTGTGATTATAAATAAATAAAAATAATTATAGAAAATGATTTACACATTTGATATTCATAGATATCTATATACAGTCCTTTATTTTCTCTAAATATTGATACTTATTAAAAGGTGTGGTATTTATGTAATAAACTTTGGATAATGCATTAATGCATTTTAGTTACACAGTGTATAGGTACGGAGCGAAATGCCTTAGTGACGAACTCACTTTATCTATGTACATGTATTCGACCATGACATTTCCGTTATTTACAGAAGTGCAAAAAGTAGTGACTACCAACTATCGGTGTTATTAAGACAGATGTGAAGAAAGTTTATTTCTTCTTTGTAAGTGTTTGAAATGAGTCCCCTCTGGCAAGGTAACTATTTAAATTGAGAAACGCAGCCAGTGCGAATTTCGTCAGGATGCGTAGCAGACGACGTTTACATTGTGATAACAGGTAAAGGTGTTCAATCAGTTATTATTTAAGTATGAGATGATACAAGTTGATGTGCCTACCTTGTAAGTATAGCCAAGTATTAAATAGGAATTATTCCGAAGAGATACATGTATGGCGAGTCACTATGCATTGTCTTGAACACTATACATTCAATAAGGGCTTTGATGCCCACCATCGATCTTATTCTACACAGCCTACTATCCATCTTCGCCGTGGTGCTAATTCTTCTATACAACTCTATGTTCTTATTGATCCTCCACTTGAATTTACAGCATAGTTAAATTTTTAGCCAAACCTGTGCTTCTTGACTTTTTGTGACTTAAACCGTTCTTCAATACAGTTGTAACATTATAACTTCTCACATTTCACTCATATGATACTTACCATGGTAGCCATTTTTTTTTAGTTTAAAATATATTTATTCATTACAAATAGTTGACAAGTGGACAAATGTAATGCATTGTGGGATACTAACCACTGGTTAAATCATTTAACTTGTGGTTAGCTAACCAGAGGCTAATTTTATTTTGAGTAACAAATATTTGACCAGTGGTTAGTTGGCCAGTGGATATAGAATTTAACCATCGGCTAACTTAACCAGTTTCCAAAATTAACCAATGTTTTGAGCAACCCAGTCCTGGATCCCATATTTTGACCTTCATCTTTTTACAGGAAAAGGGTCTGGGAGGGACCCTTTGACGCTCAAAAGGAATTGAGTTTACGAGAGCGGTAACCTAATTAGCTAGCCCGGTCAAAATTGGAAAAATCCCGTATAATACATTTATAAGAGTTCATAGTTCTAGTGGCTGTCTAACACCCTGGATCCCATATTTTGATTCTCATCTTTTTGCAGGAGAAGCACCTGGGAGGAACCCTTTGACTGTCAAAAGGAATTGAGTTTACAAGAGCAGTAACCCATTTAGCTAGCCCGATCAAAACTGGAAAAATCTCGTATTATACAATTTTAAGAGTACATAGTTCTAGGGGCTGGATAACACCGTAAATCCCATATTTTGACCTTCATCTTTTTACAGGAGAAGGGCCTGGGAGAGACGCCTTTACTCTAAAAAGAAATTGAGTTTACAAGAGCGGTAACCCATTTAGCTAACCCGGTCAAAATTGGAAAAATTCCGTAAAATACAGTTATAAGAGTACATAGTTCTAGGGGCTTGTTAACATCCTGGATGTCATATTTTGACCTTCATCTTTTACAGGAGAAGGGTCTGGGAGGGACCCCTTGACTTTTAAAAGGAATTGAGTTTACAAAAGCGGTAACCTATTTATTAGCCCGGTCAAAATTGAAAAAATCCCGTATAACACAGTTATAAGAGTACATAGTTCTAGGGACTGGCTATACGCCTGGATCCCATATTTTGACATTCTTTTTTTTTTCACAGTGGAGAGATCTGAGCGGGATCCCTTGACTGTCAAAGTGAACTGAGTTTAATCGTCGGGAACCTATATAGCTAGCCCGGTTAAAATTAGGTACAAAGCGTATAATACTGTTATAGGAGTACACAGTTCTATGTTCTGGATAACATTCACGATCCTTTATCCTGTACTTTCTTGTATCTTTAAAACATTACATTTGCCTACAAGAAAGGTCACCTAATGTTGCATATGAAATGAACATAAGAGGTTACCTTATGTGGTTCATCAATCCAGTGACAAGAGGACACCTAACGTTGTATATTAGTACGGAAACTTAGCGTCCCCCCGTTATATAACACATTCCTTAAGCAAGGGACCCATGGACCTTATAGGTCCCCTGAGTATCGTTTATCAACTTTCAAACAATTGAATTTGGTTCTTGTTTTAAACCAGAGGCCATGAAATTCACACTTTTGAAAGAGGCACCATTGCTCATCATAACTATACACTTAGCATGCTTAGTTTTATTACTTAATACCCAATTTAATAGGCAGAGCAGAGGAACAAAGAGAAAAATGCATTTCTATTATATAACCAATAGTGCCCCACCCAAAAAGGACCCCTGACCCTGGGGTCACACATTTCACAATTTAATAATTTTCATTAATACCAAGGAGCAGATTTCAAAGCATTAATTCATTTTCAGTATATAATCATTAACCAACCAACCCCGGTTACCTCTGACCCCTTGAAATTCACAATTCTGGAAGAAGCACCCTTGTTCATCATAACTATGTACTTAGATCATCGGCATACATTGACATAATACCCAGGAGCATAGGAGTTTCAAAGAATTGATTAATGCATTTTCACTAACAAAAACAATAGAGCCCCACCTTTACACCAGAACCCCTGACCCAAGTGCAATGAATTTCACAATTTGAAAGAGGCACCCTTCCTCATCATAACTATGTACATAGTTCATTGATTTCATACCTAGGACCAGAGAAGAAGATTTTTAAAGAATTAATGCATTTTCACTATGTAATCAATAGAGCCCCGCCCTTACACCAGAATCCTCGACCCTGTGGCCATAAAAATCACAATTTTTGAAGAAACATCCTTGTTTATCTTAACCAATCACTTAGTTTATTTCACTAATACCCAGGCGTAGAGAAGAAGATTTTCAAAGAATTAATGCGTTTTCACTATGCAATCAATAGAGCCCCGCCCTAACACCAATTCCCCTGACCCAGGGGCCACAGAATTCACAAATTTTGAAGAGTCATCTTTGCTCATCATAAATATGCATTTGGTTTGTTTGTTTAATACCCAGGAACAGAGGAGAAGATTTTAAAAGCATTTTCATTATCCATTTATATTCCACATAGCCCATCCTAGCATCAGACCTCCTAACCTGGGGTCATGAATTTCATTTAGGTAGAGGGCTCAATGCTTACTACAATCATGCTAACAGTTTGACTGCTTATCTTGTTATACAGCATGTTAAAGCCACTAACTGACATCTACTTTTCATCATAATATCTGACAAGTTTATATAATATCTGATAAGTTTACATAATATTCTGAGAAGTCGACATCATTATCTGACAAGTCGACATAATTTTCTGACAGGTCGGCTTGTCAGATGTTATGTCGACTTGTCAGATAATGATGTTGACTTATAGAATATCATGTCGACTTGTCAGAAAATTATGTTGACTTGCCAATAATATGTCGTCTTGTCAGATCTTTATATTTATCTTTTCATCTTTATGTTGACTTTTCAGAGACTTATGTTGACCTATCAGAAAAAATATGTTGTCAACTGATGGCCTAATCTGGGCATGCGCACATTTTTTACGTTGAACTTTTGAACTCGTGAATAAGTGAAAAGTACACAAAAAATCAGACAAGTCGACATAATTATCTGACAAGACGACAATAACATCTGACAAGTCGACAAATGTACACCATTGTATGGTGTACAATATTCCATTGTACACCATACAATGGAATACAGAATTACAAAGCGGTTAACGTTGGACTCCCGACCCATTAATCGGTTAATCATATCAAAAATTATATTTTATCATGTATACTCAACTGATAAACAAGAAGACTAAAAGGGTCTTAGTATATATTTTATTTCAAATTTAACATTATAAATGATGATATAAGGATAATCAGAACTGAGTCGGTGCTTAATGCTGAATTTACAATATAATTTGATAGGTAACTGCAAATGATAGAAGTGGTAAGATACACATTATAATCAGTTCACGGTTAACATCTCACAAACTGGCCGATTACCCTTCGACGTCAATTTGGAGAACCTTAATTATCTCCGAACAGCTTTAATAGATGTGTGAACATGCTAACATTTCAGAAATTTAAATAATTTTAATTGAATATACGAAATTATGCTTCAATTCCCAATTTTTTGGATAAACCGATCACAGATTTTCCAGCCGATTACCATCGTTCCGACCGAGTAAACGGTTAACCGGTTACAAATTGTCATGCCTAATATATAGGATTGTGGTCAACTTCTAACTCTGTGGAAAAAAGTTACCATTTGTAGCTTTTTAGATTTGCCCCTTACTTTAAGCTCAACTGAGCCGAAGGCTCAAGTGAGTTTTTCTGATCGAAGAGTGTCCGTCGTCCGTCTTAATGTGTGGCTATATCGACATTTTTGAATTCATGTCAAAGAAACATTGAGCCATTTTCAACCAAACTTTCCACGAGGCATTCTTGGTTAAAGGGGATTTAATTTTGTTCACAAGAAGTGTCAAGCTCACTTTCAAGGGGAGATCATTAAGAAATTGTGAAAATTTAATGGCATCATTTATTTTTTTTTTCTTTTCAATAACCACTGGGCCAAAAAAATGAAACATGTGAAAGCTCCATTACATAGTGTAGATTCAAGTTTGTTCAAATCATGACACCTAGGGCTAGGGTGGGGCCACAATGGGTTAAACATAGGAATACATAGGAAAAAATCTTTTAAAATTTTAAAATTCTTTTGTCAAGAAAAGCAAAGCCAAGATTAGTAATATTTATAAGGAAGCATCTTCAGGTAGTATAGATTCAATATTGTTCAAATCATGGCCCTTGGGGCTAGTGTGGGGCCATGTTAAGTGATCTAAGTTTTACATGGGAATATACAGGAAAAATCCATAAATATCTTCTCCTCAAGAACAACAAATAAAGGAATGACTGGTCATATTAATATTTAAGCATTTTCAGGTAGTTTAGATTCAAGCTTCTTCAAATGATGACACCCGGGGGTAGGACGGGCCACGATAAAAGATGAATGTTTTACATGGAATATATAAGAGAAATTTATAAGAAATCTTTTAAAGCCATGATTAGTCATATAAATATGGAAATATCTTCAGTTAGTGTAGATTTGTTCAGAACTTATCCCCCCTCTCCATTTGGGGTTGGGTGAGGCCTCTTTTATATTTAAACTTTTCAATGCTAAACTGATTTCTGCTTTTCACTAACCAAATAACTCAGGTAAGCGATTTGGCCCACGGGCCTCTTGTTTGTATATTGCGTCAATAAACTTCGGGCTCAACATGCTTTATGATATGGAATTTGAATTTGTGAGATCCGCCACTCAAATCTTGAGAATCTTTAAACATCGGGTCCAGGAACATTGAGGACCTCTACAATTTTCACGTACAGTTAGATTCTAGCCATCAGATTACATCAGTCAATTAAAAAACTTGCAGAGAACGATTTATGGA